ACAAAAAAAGAGGAGAAGATTTGACGGTTTTCTGTAGTCTCATGAAATAGCTCTTGATAAACGTAGAAATCGTTTGCTGATTGAAAAGTTTTGCTATAACCATTATAACAGGAAATAAGCAAAATTGATAAGTTTTTACAGGATGATGTAAGAGCTCTTGATAAACGTAGAAATTATTTGCTCCGTGATGAGATAGGCTATAACCATGATAACAAAAAAATGAGCGAAACTAACGGTTTTTTTATAGCCTAATGAAACACCTATTGATAAACGTAGAAATTATTTTTTTATTTATGAGTTTATAACCATGATAAAAAAACAAGAAGAGCAAAAATGAAAATTTTATGCGGCCTCATGAAAAAGCTCTTGATAAACGTAGAAAACATTTGTTGATGGTGAGTTTGGCTATAACCAGGATAACAAAAAACAAGAAAGCAAAATTGATGGTTTTCTCCTATTTGATGAAAGAGCTCTTGATAAATGTATAAATTATTTGCTAATTGAAGAGTTTTACTATAACCATTATAACGAAAAATGGGTAAAATTGACAGTTTTCTTCAACTTTATAATAATGCCCTTGATAACCATAAATATCATTTGCTGATTGATGAGTTTGGCTATAACCATGATTAAAAAAAAAAAGGGTGATGGGTTTCTGCAACGTAATGAAAGAGCCCTTGATAAACGTAAAAATTTTTGCTCATTGATGAGTGTGGCTATAACCATGATAACAAAACAAGAGAGACAAAATTGACGGCTTTCTTCAATCCGATGAAAGAGAACTTGACTATAATAGAAATCATTTGCACTTTGATGAGTTTGACTATAAATATAATAACGAAAACAATGAAGAAAATTGACGGTTTTCTGCAAGTTCAAAAAAAGAACTTGATAAACGTAGAAATTATTTGCTCATTGATGTGTTTGGGTATAACCATGATAACAAAACAAGAGAACCAGAATTGACGGCTTTCTATAGTCTAATGAAAAAGATCTTTATAAATCTAGAAATCGTTTGATGATTGATGATTTTGGCTATAACAATGATAACGAAAAAGGAGTAAAATTGACGGTTTTCTACAGGCTCACGAAAAAACTATTGACAATCGTAGAAATCATTTACTGATGATGAGTTTGGCTATAACCATGATAAAAAAAAGGGTTGATGGGTTTCTTCAACGTAATGAAAGAACCCTTGATAAACGTAAAAATTATTTGTTCATTGATGAGTGCTGCTATAACCATGATAACAAAACAAAAGAGACAAAATTGATGGCTTTCTGCAATCCGATGAAAGAGAACTTGATAGACATAGAAATCATTTGCAGATTGATGAGTTTGACTATAATTATAATAACGAAAAATAATGAACAAAATTGACGGTTTTCTACAAGCTCATGAAAAAGAACTTGATAAACGTATAAATTATTTGCTCATTGATGTGTTTGACTATAACCATGATAACAAAACAAGAGAACCAGAATTGACTGCTTTCTATAGTCTAATGAAAGAGATCTTGATAAACCTATAAATCGTTTGCTGATTAATGAGTTTGGCTATAACAATGATAACGAAAAAGGAGCAAAATTGACGGTTTTCTGCAGGCTCAGGAAAAAACTATTGACAAACGTAGAAATCATTTACTGATGATGAGTTTGGCTATAACCATGATAACAAAAAGAGAGGAGAAGATTTGACGGTTTTATGTAGTCTCATGAAAGAGCTCTTGATAAACGTAGAAATTATTTGCTGATTGAAAAGTTTTGCTATAATCATTATAACGGAAAATGAGCAAAATTGATAAGTTTTTACAGAATGATGAAAGAGCTCTTGATAAACGTAGAAATCATTTGCTGCTTGATGAGATAGGCTATCACCATGATAACAAAAAAAAGAGTGAAACTAACGGTTTTTTTACAGCCTAATGAAGCACCTTTTGATAAACGTAGAAATTATTTTCTGATTTATGAGTTTATAGCCATGATAAAAAAACAAGGAGCAAAAATGAAGGTTTTAAGCAGCCTCATGAAAAAGCTCTTGATAAACGTAGAAATCATTTGTTGATGGTGAGTTTGGCTATAACCTGGATAACAGAAAAAAAAGAGAGCAAAATTGAGGGTTTTCTCCTATTTGATGAAAGAGCTCTTGATAAATGTATAAATTATTTGCTAATTGAAAAGTTTTGCTATAACCATTATAACGGAAAATAGGTAAAATTGACAGTTTTCTGCAACTTTGTAAAAATGCCCTTGATAACCATAAATATCATTTGCTGATTGATGAGTTTGGCTATAACCATGATTAAAAAATAAAAAGTTGATGGGTTTCTGCAACTTAATGAAAGAGCCCTTGATAAACGTAAAAATTATTTGCTCATTGATGATGGTGGCTATAACCATGATAACAAAACAAGAGATACAAAATTGACGGCTTTCTGCAATCCGATGAAAGAGAACTTGATAAACATAGAAATCATTTGCAGATTGATGAGTTTGACTATAACTATAATAACGAAAAATAATGAACAAAATTGACGGTTTTCTGTAAGCTCATGAAAAAGAACTTGATAAACGTAGAAATTATTTGCTCATTGATGTGTTTGGCTATAATCATGAAAACAAAACAAGAGAACCAAAATTGACGGCTTTCTACAGTCTAATGAAAGAGATCTTTATAAACCTAGAAATCGTTTGATGATTGATGAGCTTGGCTATAACAATGATAACAAAAAAGGAGCAAAATTGACGGTTATCTACAAGCTCACGAAAAAACTATTGACAAACGTATAAATCTTTTTATATGCGTTCTACAATGATACCTTTTACCTCTGATCCATGTGATGGTGGTTATTTTCGTATTGCGTCTCTTAACCCTAACATGGGTGAGTGGTCTGTCTCGGTGAAGATTTTGAATTGTTGGTCTGTTTCGCGTGGCACGGGTAGAGAGCTCAATATGATTTTGGGTGACGAGCATGTTAGTTTTTTGATAACTTACCTTCTATACATGTTTTTGATATTAAATTGAATTGGTTTTGTCTTTAACGTTTTATTTGCAGTTCACCCAAATCCAAGCCGTTGTTCGTGATGAATTAATTGATAATTATCTTTCAAGATTGATAATCGATGAGTGGGTGAGCATTAAAAATTTTGATGTATCACGGGTTAACAGCATATTGAGACCAGTACCGCATAGATTCAAGATTGTGTTTCGTTCGGACACTTTAGTGCAAAGTATTAATATGTGCTCCAGTAGAACCTATTTCAATCTAACTGAGTTTGTGAGTATATTGAGTGGTATTGTTAATCCGAATATTTGCGTTGGTAAGCCTAATTTGTAAATTTATTTGTGCTTTTGGAGTTTATTTGCGGTTCATGTTCTGACTGTATTATTCATGTGTGTGTTTCATAGATGTTGTTGGCAAAATTGTCAACGTGAGAGAGTTGGTTTTTGTTCCTTCCGTGGAACATTCTCAAGGAGGATATTTTGAGCTGTACTTTGATTTACGTGATACTGAGTAAGTCACTATTCTTTTAAAGATTTAAACCAGAATATAAAGTCTTATGACTTCTTCAAATCTTAAAATTAGGTGTATCCATCTAGAGTGTCGTTTAACGGGTGACCTTGCAGTCGAGTTCTATGACTTATGGAAGCATCGTTCACGTAAAACAGTGATATGTATTATCAAGTTTGTGAAATTAGAGCTATCACAGGAACATAGGTGGAGATGTACCAATGTTACCGGAAGTACGAGGATTATGTTGAATCCGGATCTCAGTATTACCGACGAGATGCTTTGTTGGTAAGTATTTTTTTTTTCCGTTTACAATCAAAACTCTAAAGTTGGCGACTGGACATTCACTGTTTATGGTGTTCTAAATCGGATGTCAGGAATCCTGAAAATGACCAAGTACCGATCATCACACGGAAGGAGAATGCCATGGAGTGATGATGTTCGTTGATTTCTTATTTTGTTGGTGAATGATTTTAAAAGATGATTTATTATTATTTTTTTAGCATTTATAATATTATTGACTTTTTTAAATTTCATCATTTTCCATAATTTTACCACACTAAATCCTAAACAATTTACCATATTTTTCTTACACTACCAAATAACACCTAAACAATCCCTTATTTCACATGATTTTACCATTCATACAACATTCTTCCCACGCATGTGCGCGGGCAATCACCTAGTAATCAATTACTTTACAAAAGATCTTAATTAAAGCTCTTACAATATTTTAATATTTATTTTTCCCTAAGATCAAACTTCAAAGATGCACCCTTGCATATGCCCTTAGGAAAATGCTATCTCAGTAATTAACGTACTTTTCTGTGCTATTTGAAGTAATTTTTTCTTCGGCAAATAATTCTATTATATATACGTTCTCAAGAAAAGATCGTTTCTAGGTAAAAAGGTCGTCAAAGTCAAAAAGAACGCATCATACGAATAAAACTTCTTGCATCTTGCTTTGATTAAAAGTTCATTCGAAAAACTTAGTCAATTTCGTTTTATTAAAAAAGAAAACACTTAGTCAATAACAAACACCATGTAATACACCCGAATGAGTGCAAATCAAAGAATAAAGAATAAATAAGGTTTTACCAAAAAAATAAAATAATAATAATAATAATAATAATAATAATAATAATAATAAAAAATAAGGTTGCGTGGTTGAGCAATTCCTATTTAGGGTATCCATAGTTGATGTTTACATGGATACACTAAATAGCAATTCCTCTTTGATTCTTCGTCCTAAATTCTTAATCTTTATATATAGCTTGGTTCTGAGATAATATAGGTTCTTATAACAAAAAATACCAAGTTCAGAAAAAAAAAAAAAAAAAACCTAAATATGGGTCTTTCCAAATCCATATGCATGGTCATTTTTTCTTTGTTCTTTTTCAGTTTCCTTGCGGGAAACGCCAAGAATCCGATCTTAGTCAATGAAAACTGTTCAAATGCAAGAAACTTCACGAAAGATAGCAAATATGAATTCAATCTAAATGATATGCTCACAAAACTATCTGTCTCCTCAAACTCATCCTCTGCCTCTGGTTTCTACACGGAGACATCAGGAGTCGATCCCAACATCGTGGAAGGCATGTTACTCTGCCTAGGTGATGTCTCTGTTGAAGATTGTAGAGACTGCGTCATTACCGCTTCCAAGGCTATCACTAAAACTTGCAGTGTACAGAAAACAGCGATTACGTGGTACGATAACTGCATGCTGCGTTACTCTGATGTCAAAATCATTGGTAAAATGGAGACAGTTCCCTCGTACATGAGCGTGGGAACTATTACCGATCACGATTTGTATGTAAAGTCCATTAACTTGATGAAAAAGTTAATAGACAAGGTAAATCAGTCAGCGCAACTTTATGCAGATGAGGAAGTAGATGGTGGTGACACAAAGTTGGGAAAGATTCATGGGATGGTACAGTGCATAATAGGCATAAACGCTACCGATTGTGTTACTTGCTTGAACACTTTGATGGAAAAAGTTTACAAAGAAAACAAAGACAAGGTGTGGTGGCAAATGTATGGTCCGAGCTGTATGTTGAGGTATAAAGCATCAGGTGTCACGCCCGCACCCACACCCGTACCCCATAGTACGTATTTTTTTTTTTTTTGGTTTTAAAGTTAAGACCCATAGTGCGTATTTATTTGCATTTAGGGGTTGAATATTGGAAAAAAATGTCATTTAAATCATCAGTTGTCTATTTTCGTTGATTTAAAGCATGAATTATGTACCTGGTGATTAAAATGCTCAATTTTATGTTGACTTTCAATTTAATCACGAATTTTCGTTAACAAAAGCAAATTGAGGCACAAAATCGAAAGAAGAAAGACGAAATTTTAAGAAACTAAGATTAAATCAGGATTTGAGAAGAAATCGAGAGGATTAGAAAAGAAATCGAGAGAATTTTTAATTTTAAAGTTCTAACTTTGATATCAATTTTCTTGTTTCGATTACGATTTTGTGCCTCAATTGGCTTTGTCAACGAATATTCATGATTAAATTAAAAATCAACATAAAATTGAGCATTTTAATCACCAGGAGCAGAGTTCATGCTTTAAATCAACGAAAATAGACAACCGATGATTTAAATGACATTGTTCCCGTTGAATATTTCTGACTTATCGGAAGAAGGGACAAGATAATTGAACTAAAGCTGGTTTTACAGAACCAAAGAAATTTGATGTCAAGACCATCTTGGGGGTAGTTGCAGCAGCAGCAGCTGTTGCATTTCTGGTTATCTTTTGTTGTGCATCTTCATCTGGTCGACGAATATTACGAAACGGTAGATTCGGTTTTCATGATTTCTGATTAGTTTTCTTAACTTTATTTTTGGGTTTACAAACTTATAAATGCGTTAAAAAATACAGTGTTTGCTTTTCCGAAGAACAAGAAAGGAAAGAATAAGGTACTGGATCTCGATGGAGTGATGATCAATGCAGAGAGTGATGAGAGTCAGCATATGCACATAAGTCTAGATACTATTGTAGATGCAACTAATGGCTTCTCAGATGATAACAAATTAGGAGAAGGAGGTTTTGGTCCTGTCTACAAGGTAAGCCGCCTATACAAACTAATTAAGAGTTATAGGTTTACATAACTTTGATCAAGTCCTTTCAAAATATGACTTTTTCAGGTTTGAGTAGAAGTTTCAAGTATTAAACTAGTAATTTATTGATTTTGGAAGTACGAGAACTAGAATATTAAGTTTGATAATCTCTAAATCAACCAAATTCTCTTAGACTGGTAAAAATCATTATAGATCTACGACAACAAAGAATATAAAACTTTTTCTAACTCTATATTAAATCACAAAGCTATTTAAGTAACCCTAAAAAACTCTTAAGGAAACTCCACAAAAATCATAATTGGAATATGATAATTTTAAAAATAAATAAAATAATTAATAATAAATCTATATTACATCACTAGCTGGCAAAATCTCATATAAGTTTTTGACCGGATCTAAATACCATTTAAGTTTGTTTCATTATAAAATCATATAAAAACTCTTGTACTCATTGCCAATCAAGTGAATGGCTATTGAATTTTGATAAGTTTGTTTATGTCTGTTTTTTTTATAAAAAATTATAAATCACTCAAACTTCTTTTCAAAATGGGGGTTTTATAAGAATATATATTTACTTTACTACTCTTTCTATGCAAAAATGAAATTCTTTATTATATTTGAGTTTTGGAACTTTAATCCGAAAACAAAACCCAAAACCTCAAATTTAAAAGCCAAACATCCAAATTAAACATATCTGAAAACTACAACCATTGACAGTGGGGCAGTACCTAATTTCATCTAGGTTTGATTCCAGTTTAGAACTTAGAACGCTTCTTATTCAGAGTTGATGCGGGTTTCCCACTAGCTAGTATGGTAGTGTTGGACTTAGTCCTTCTGCCCTAGATGTTTTATATGGTATGCTTGTGTTCAATGAACTTGCATATACCCGTAAAACTTGTCGGGTTTGCTCGGATTACCCATGACAAAAAGCAATAAAACTATTCAAGCTCATTGCTTTTAAAGATGAGTCTAACTCCAAGAGTTAAGTTTCTTCATATTTATTGAAGGACCATGGATAATATGTTCCCCTTGACCTCTAAATTCAAAGTTTTTCCTGCCATAAATCTGATTTTTCTAGGGAAAGCTTCCTAATGGGGAAGATGTTGCGATCAAGAGACTCTCAAAAAAGTCGAGTCAGGGTCTTACAGAGTTCAAGAATGAAGTGAGTTTGATAATTAAACTTCAGCATCGAAACTTGGTGAGACTTTTAGGGTACTGCTTCGAGGAAGATGAGAAGATTCTTATATATGAGTACATGTCTAACAAGAGCCTTGATGTTTTTCTATATGGTAAAGCATATTTTAATATTGACGTTTATATGAATTAGTCATTTCTCTACACTAATACTAGTTATGAAGCTTAAATGATTCGCACTGTTTTTTTCTTATGTGAGCAGACCCTCTTAAGAGTAAAGAATTAGATTGGAAGAAGCGCATGAATATTATTTATGGGATGACAAGAGGACTGCAATATTTACACAAGGATTCGCGTCTTAAGATCATTCATCGTGATCTCAAGCCGGGTAATATACTTTTAGATTGTGAGATGAACCCCAAAATCTCGGATTTTGGGACTGCTCGAATTTTTGGACGCCAACAGAAAGAAGAAAACACAGACAAGATAGTTGGCACAATGTAAGTCAGGACGGCCATTTAGATAGATAATATATGGAATTTTATCTCAAACTAACCATCAATTAAAATATCGTCCACAATCTGATAAACATTTGTAAATTGACAAATTTTTAGCGGCTATATGTCTCCGGAATATGCATTAGGCGGGAAAATTTCAGAAAAATCCGATATTTACAGCTTTGGAGTGTTGTTGCTGGAAATCATATCGGGCAAAAAGGCAAACCGGCTGGTATCTCATAACAATCAATATCTTAGCCTTATTGATTATGTAAGTTCAATCTTATATATATATATATTACTCAATGCATGTTATGACATACATAGTTTGTAGTAATCAACTTGATTCACTTTTAACACTATAGGTTGTGTTCTTGGTTTTCAGGCATGGGAATCATGGTGTGAGACAAAAGGATTGAATATGATTAGCGATGAAGAAGCAATGCTCGACAGTTCATTTTCGCCGGCAGAAGTGGTAAAATGTGTTGATATCGCGCTTCTTTGTCTTCAATATCAACCAAAGGAGCGACCCACCATTTCACAGATAGCTGATATGCTAAGAAGCAACAATGACGGCCTCTCACATCCCAAGCAGCCAAGTTTCGTGTTACAAAACCTGTTAAATTTGGATCAGCACTCCGAATATGAAATCAGCCAAACAACATTAGAAGCAAGAACATAATTAAAAAAAAAAATGAAAACATAATGTTATGCATATATAATTGTGAGTGTTGGATTAATCATTTAATCATTAAAACAAAGTTGTGAGTCGTGTGGGATTTGTATATAATGGCCATGTTCGTTTGTACATCTGGATGCATCATCCATATGATCCATTTAGATGATCCATCCAGATGATGTATTTGGACGTTAATCATTTTTGAATTTGGTAGTGCATCTCGATGGACCTTGAAGCTTTGTTCGTTTGATTAGTTGTATCTAAGATTAAACTATGAATTCGTCAAACAAAGTAACCACTTCCAATCAAAACCCATGACACCCACACATTCTCTCTCTCTCTTTTTTTTTTTTTTTTATAACTCGAGTAATCCGTTTCAACATACACCATAAGCTCCGAGCCAGATCGCGGGGATTTTTCTTCCTAGCTGGTTTTCGGATCAACATGCCATGAGATCTGACTAATCTCGGGGCCATGGGGAGCGATGTGAAAACCTATGACACCCACACATTTGTGGAGTAGTTTCTAGGGTAGATCGAACTTGGGGTAGCTCATGAATTAGAAGTTTATAACCTCCCCTTGTCTCACTAGAACTAGACCACTAGTGTGGGCAACTCTTTATTTTTTTTGTACATGAGTTTATAATTTGAGAATTAAGATGTTGTTGGCGGATTTTTTGGATGTTGAAAAATTGTTTAGTGCATATGCATTGACTGGATTTTATTGATTTTGGTAAGTGAGAAAATCAAACAGCACTTTTATTGATTTATTAAAATTTTCTATACCCTAACGCAAAGTGTCTTGCGTTACAAGGAAAGTAGTATTTGATCTAATAATTAATTAATATAACATGCATCCTTAACGCGTAGTGCAATGTATGGTTTTCCTGGGAAAAGGATCAGAAAACAGTGGTGGACGAGGCCATTGATGGCGTGGCAACAATCCTTGTCCAAACCTTTGAAATCTCCTTTAGTGGCAGCTTTCACAGCATCGACACAACCTTTGACCTTCTTTATTGACGAGAAGCAATCACCAGGATTTGGTATCGGCGCTTGAGCTTCGGATTGATGATGACAAAGCAACGCCATGATCACAGATAAAAAGAAGAACATCACTGTGACGATCTGTTTTGTTCCCATTTTTGTTTTCTGGAATTGGACAGGTTTTTTTTTTTTTTAGATCTTGCAGTTGTTGTGTGTCTGAGAAGTGGAAAAAGGTGTTATAGGGTTCTTATAGAAAATGGACTTGGACTAAATATGAGAATTTTGGTTGGTCATTTAATTGTTACAATTGAATAACAAACATTTGGTAAGCATATTTACTGTTTTCAATACAAAAATATTTTAGTAATAAATTAAAAGTGTCTTTACATAATTTTTAGAAATTTTATAAATTGAAGTTGACTTTCATAAATTTATGAAAATAGTAGAGAGAGAAAAAGAATGGTTGTAGTAGAATTGGATTTTGGAAATTTTGAAACACTTTAGAGGGAAATTCCAAAAAAAGAAAGATACATTGGTTTCATGAATCCTCAGATGATAACTCTTTCTTGATCAACTTCGAGATCTCTGATATCTGAAAAAAGCCACAATAAAATACCGATTTTTCTCTAAACAAAACTTACTTGTGAAACAATCTACTTTAAAACTTACTTACTTAAAAATAGAGAATTTAACTTACATCTGAGTTATTACATGTTATGTTATTGGAAATTTAAAAAAAAAAAAAAAAAACTCAAAAGGCAATACAGATTTTTCTACATAGAGATTACTTGTGAAACAGTCTACTTAAAAACAGAGAGGTTAACTTACATCTGAGTTTACATAGAGATTACTTGATGAAATGTCCAAAGTGTTTTCTGGAGAAGCTTCACAAGCGAATCAACTTGATCTCCAAAAAGATCAACCTGCAACTTTTTCTCACTTTCATATGATTCAAAATCTTACAATTAAAGAATGAAATGAAATCACAAATTGTTTTACCTCAGTCTTTCTTAGATTCTCAGACCTAAGAACAAAAGCTCTTCTATAAACTGATTCTTTTCGCCTTAACTTTGCGATAAAATCAATGGTTGAATCAATCTTTATCTCCAAGTTTTGTAACCTCTCGAAAAAAAAAAGATCATTAGTTAAGATTCAACATACATTTTTGATGATTGTTCTTAATAGCCCTTTTTCACTCACCTGAAAGTTACCTTCTAAACGACCTACCAGAAAAGGAGCTTTGCAAGGTAATTACAGGTCTTTTGTGATTCACTTTGGCCACGTTTTGTAATACCCAATAGATGATTTATGAAGAGTTGATATAGATTATCAAATCTGAAAAGTTGTTAACGTGAAGAACATCACCGCTTTAATGCTTAAGAGACTGTAAAAAAAAAAGAATCAGAGATTCAAAGAGTGAAGCTGAGGCTATTCATAGATGGGCTTATTTTTCTATTTAAATTTGTTGGGCCATTGAGTTTCTTCATCCTATTTACTTTCTCGGCCCATTTATCTTCTTTTGTAACCCAAAATATATGTGTATGAATGGACAAATAATCTTTAGATTTCGTGGCGTATGGTGGCTTCCTTAATGTCGATGCCGCTCTTCACTTTTTTTTTTTTTAGTTTTCTTTAAGTTGGTAAGTATTTCGAAGATTTGTCCTTCAATTGAGAATTACAGTTTGTGATTATTTTCTTGGTCGAAGGACTCAATTTTCCCCGTTGATCGGTGAATAATTTTTTTGAATCTATCATGAAAACTTAACTAAATTCATATACAATGGCTCTGTTCGTTTCTCCATTCAGATGGATCATCTGGATGGAGATGAAGAATGATGTTCGTTTTTTACAATTTAACAAAGCATTTGGATGAATAAGTTAGATGGATCATCTGAATGAGTTTGTAATTTTAGGTAAATTTTTCAAACTCATCTAGATGAACATGATTGGAGCATTTGGATGGAGATGATTCAGTCAAAAATAACAAATGACAAATATACCCTCATTTACAATCATATATCAAATAATGTTTATTTCCATAGATTTCTCATTTATATTATAAAAATAACATATTTGCACACAAAAAAATCTCTAAAAATTGTGAAATCAAAGATTTCATTTTCCGTCAAAATCATAAATCGCGGAATTGTGTTTTTTCCCACCAAAAAGTGAAATTATGATTTTTGATAGAAAATTGTGGAATTCGTCAAAACCGCAAAATCATGTTTTTTCGACAAAACCGCAAAATCATATTTTTCGCCAAATCATGTTTTCCCGCCAAAACCATAAAATCATATTTTCCCGCCAAAACCGCAAAATCATGTTTTTCCGCCAAAACCGCAAAATCATAGTTTTCCCGCCAAAACCGAAAAAATTGAAGAATAACATTTTCCACCAAAATCGTAAAATCATATTTTCCCGCCAAAACTATAAAATCACGATTTTGGCGAAAAAATTACAGAATTCTGTTTTCCTGCCAAAACCGGAAAAAACTGAAGAATTGTGTTTTCCACAAAAACCGTGAAATCATATTTTCCCGCCAAAACTATAAAATCACGATTTTGGCGAAAAAATTACAGAATTCTGTTTTCCTGCCAAAACCGGAAAAAACTGAAGAATTGTGTTTTCCACCAAAATCATGAAATCATGTTTTCCCGTCAAAACTAGAAAATCACAATTTTGGCGGGAAAATTACGGAATTCGGTTTTCCCGCCAAAACCAAAAAAACTGAAGAATTGTGTTTTCCACAAAAACCGTGAAATCATATTTTCCCGCCAAAACTATAAAATCACGATTTTGGCGAAAAAATTACAGAATTCTGTTTTCCTGCCAAAACCGGAAAAAACTGAAGAATTGTGTTTTCCACCAAAATCATGAAATCATGTTTTCCCGTCAAAACTAGAAAATCACAATTTTGGCGGAAAAATTACGGAATCATATTTTCCTGACAAAACCGTAAAATCATATTTTCCCGCCAAAACCGTAAAATTAATTTTTATATGTTAAAATCCTAGTTTGAAATTATTTATTTGTAAATATATTTTAGAGCAATAATTAAATTAATATAGCTAAGGTTAAAATTAAAATATAATTAGATTCAAAGTATGGGTATTTTAGTCATTTTTTGTTAAAGTCATCTAGATGCAAATGAAGATTTATAAAAATTAAGCAAACAAACAAAAGTTCATTTAGATGCTCCATCCAAATGAATATCCAAAAATTGAAACGAACAACATTCAGATGAAGCATTTGGATGGAACATTTAGATGGACCATCTGGATAGAAATGCTAGATGATAAAACGAACAGGCCCAATGTCTTGTTCTTTCGAGGAAACTTTATAGATTGCACAATATCTGTTAGTTAAAATGCGTAATAGAAACTAAGAATTAGTTTTTTTTCCAATGAAGAAGTTTTATCTTTTTAGGCGTTGTTGATTGCGCTTCCATCGAATGCAATGAGGGCGGGCGGTATAACCGTCAGGGGTCCAATCCCATGTTTCAATAACTAAGAGGCCCATTTTTAAAAATATTTTTATAAAAGTATTAAAAATTAAATTACAACATAAAAATAAAATTTAGAAGGCCCATAAAACTTTTTATTTATTGTTTTTAGTATTAATAATTAATTTTTAATAAAAATAGCATATAAATTCTTTTTACAGCAAAAGAACATTAAAAAACAAAATTAAGGGTCCAAATTTTTTTGCCCAAAGACCCATAAAAGTGTTGAACCGGTCCTTAGTGCAATTATGGCAATTGTTATGTTTTGGAGGTAGAGAGAGGAAGTGAAACTTCCAGAGAAATTGTAACATCCCACTCCCGCATATTATTGTTGGGCCAATTTCCATTATCATTTTGCAGTCCATTAAAGTCCAATGGAATTTATAATTATCACAACGGTATTGTCAAGTTATCACCGCCAACATTGTCGGGGCATTGTTGAAGAGTTCGTCGTCATCATCGAGACCAAAAGAATAAGTGTGGCGTGTAGATAAAGAAGATAGATCGAGACGTCGTAGAGGTGGTGGGAACCACAACTGGATCTGGTCAGTTATGTCATTGCTGTGGCAAGCCTCTATAGTGATGGAGGAGAAACGCCGGGACAGATCAGAAATAGCGGAGAAAAGAAAATGAAAGAAGAAAGACGAGGAAGAAGCAAATTAGAACAAATCTGAGATTGGGTTTTATAAGGCTCATTTCCGTCGAATAAGAGAAAAATCAGTTGACGTGTAAGGTGTCTATGGAAAGCTCACGTTGGCAAGAATCCACAGCAGGTGACGAAGATTGAATCAAGGTTATATTCTAGAAGTTATGCACGTTTCTTCTTAGACAAGTAACTGCAGAATCTGGTCAAATCTGGAACCCTAGAAACAAGTTTCGTATTAGCTTCTTCAAGGCAACGTTTGGAGGTCCAAAACTATTCCGATCGCGATGAAACTTTGTGGACTTGTTCATGATACTATTGGCTACGTAATCAACAGTAGGATTGCAATTGTAACGTTTGAGACCTTTCATGACTCATGGAGTAAGGTCTTAGTTGATAGAGAACAAAAGTGGAGCTAAAGAGCATGTTGTTGCATATAAGATACTACAAGAAAATATGGTTTTTACGACTACAGCTGGCAACTAAATATTTAGTTGCCTAAATTTGCAACTAATTAGTCACTTTTAAACGAAATTTTGGCGACCACAAAATTTAAGTCGTAAATCAGTCGCTTTTTTGCGATCAAAGACAGTAGTCGGTAAACTAGTCGTTAATTAGTCACTTTATGTCTATATTGCACACGGGAAAAAATAGTCGCAAAATAGTCCGCTAATTTGGCGACTATTACGCGATTACAAATCCATTTACTTTCTTTGTTTCATCTTCACTCTCTGTTTCTTCTCGTACAGTCTCTTTAGCTTTAAAGTTAACAACAACTTGTCAGATTTGATAATCTGTAATTCTGTATCGATTCCTTATGTTTACTTCATGAATCATCGATTGGGTATTGCAAAACTTGGCTAAAGTGAAGAACTCTAGTTTGTAGAATCACAAAAGACTTGTGATTTCTTTGGTTATGTTACTGTTCTTTCTCGAAATGAGAGGAATTGTGCTGATTAGATCAAGGTTATCTATCTTCAGGGCTCATGCATTCAATTGTTTAAGATCTAGTAATGTTTTTCCTAGTTTAAGAAATACATGTATTGTTCGAGTGTATTTGGAACCTCCCATAGCTTGTGTGCTTCCTTTAAGTCAGTATTCTATGTTCTCTACTTCCATAGCTGATTCAGAGCAAGTGGGGTTTACTAGGAGTAACAACGAGAAGGATGATGAAAGTGAGGAAGAGATTGACCTCGATCTTGGTTTTACTATAAGTGATTAAGTTGTTTCAGAAGATGTTGGGACGATTGCGAAGCTGTTGAAAGATTGTAGAGTGACCGGAAGGAACTGAGGAACAAGCTTGAGGAATGTGATGTAAAGCCATCAAATGAATTGGTGGTAGAGATTCTTTCTCAAGTTCCTAATGATTGAGAAACTACATTCACTTTCTTTCTTTGGCAGGGAAGCAGCAAGGTTACGTTCATTCGGTTCGTGAGTATCACTCTATGATCTCGATTATTTGTAAGATGAGGAAGTTTGATACAGCTTGGACTTTGATTGATGAGAAAGTTTAAACCTTCTCTTGTGAACTCATAAACACTTTTGATCATGATCAAGAAGTATTGTGCAGTACATGATGTTGGGAAAGCGATAAACACTTTCCACGCCTAAAAAAAGATTCAAACTTGAAATGGGGATTGATGATTTTCAGAGTTTGCTCTCTGCTCTTTGTAGATATAAGAATGTTTCAGATGTTGAGCATTTGATATTCAGTAATAAAAATAAGTATTTGTTAGATGCCAAAAGTTTCAACATAGTTCTCAATGGATGGTGTAACGTGATTAGTAGGTAGCCCACAAGAGGCTGAACGAGTCTGGATGGAGATGGGAAATGTCGGAGTCAAACAAGATGTTGTGTCTTATTCAAGCATGATATCATGCTATTTGAAAGGTGGTAGCTCGAATAAGATAACCCGGATCCCGGAAGCTAAAGTAGTGTAGCTACAAAAACAAAACTCATAGGGACTTGGTCCTCACTTACAAATCTTTGGGAAGCAACAAAAAGCTTGGATAGGGTTTAGGGTTCAAGGTTAGGATTTAGGGTTTAGGGTTTAGGATTTTAGGATTAAGGTTTAGGGTTTAGGGTTCTTGGAGTCAAATATGAGAAGATTGGTGTGTATGATTGAGTATAAGAACGAGAAATGCAACCCGGATCCCTGAAGTTAAAGTAGTATAGCTACAAAAAAAAAAAAGTCATGAGACTTCGT